ATCACTGCAGGAGTTTCTCCCAGTTGTGCCCTAGGCCAAACCATCTTGAGTTAATCCATCAATGGACTTCCCTCCATCATAAAGTCAGAAGTGGGATGTTCATTACTGGCTGCACAATGTTTAGGGCCATTCACAACTCCTCAAGTACTGAAGTAGTCCATGTCCAAATGCAGAAAGATCTGAACAGTAGGTTGAAGTGACGAGTAACATTCGTGCCATACAAATGTCAGACAATAACCAATCCAACCCTTACCCATCACATGCTATCACCCTTCGCCCCTCCCCTCCTTTAGTTTCCTCGAGATCCCCCCAAAACCCCACCCCTGAACCTTGCCGCATATTCACCATCCCCCCCGACTTCGAACTCTCTGAGGCCAAACGGTCTGTCCTCAGTAAAGGGCTCACTTTCATGCCCCACCTCAATGAGTTCCATGCCCACCAAGACGTGGAACTCTTCTTCTGCTGCCTCAGCCTCCATGTCTTCTTCTTTGATAAAGACTCCCATTCCCCCCTCTGGGGACCCCCTCTAACCTTCTTCCTCCTCTTGGACAGCATCCCCCACCCCCAGCCCACAGCCTCTTACCCTCCTCGAACCTCTTCATTGCTAACTGCCAATGCGACGTCAACTGCCTTGATTTCTCCACTCCCCTCGCCCACTCCAACCCCTCCCCGTCTGAACATGCAGCGTTCCACTCTCTCCGCACCAATCCCCATTTCACTATCAAACCCACTGACAAAGGTGGAGCGGTGGTAGTCTGGAGGACAGACCTCTATATTGCAGAGGCCAAATGCCAACTCTCCAACACCACATCTTACTTCCCCCTTGACCATGACCCCACCATGGCCAATCAAGCTATAGTCTCCCACACTGTCCATGATCTGGTGCTCTCCATTCCACCGCCTCCAGCCTTATAGTTCCTCAGCCCTACACTGCCCAGTTTTACCTGCTCCTCACATCCACAAGTCCAACTACCCCAGCCGACCCATTATCTCCAGATGCTCCTGCCTCCACCGAATTCATTTCTTCCTACCTCAACTCCATTCTCTTGCCCTTGGTCCAGGCACATCCCACCTACATCCGGGACACAAACCACGTCCTCCACCTTTTTGGAAGCTTCCAGTTCCCTGGCTCCCAGTGCTTCACCTTTGCTATGGACGTGCAATCGCTAAACACATCCATACCCCACAAGGATGACCTACAGGCACTCAGACTTTTCCTCTCCAACAGGCCCATCCAGTCCCCTCCCACCAATACCTCCCTCCACCTCACTGAACTAGTCCTCACCCTCAATAACTTTTCCTTCAATTTTTCCTATTTTCTCCGAATCCAGAAGGTTGCCACAGGCACTCACATGGGCCCCTGCTATGCCTGTTTGTCGGTTATGTCAAACAGTCCCTCTCCAGTACGTACACCGATAGTGGTCCCCAACTCTTCCACCGTTACATCGATGACCGCATCAGTGCTGCATCCTGTACCCGGGCTGAACTGGGGCAGTTTATCGACTTTGCTAACAATTTCCACCCCGCCCTCAAATTCACTTGGTCTATCTCAGACACCTCCCTCCCCTTTCTTGGCCTCTCTATTTCCATTTCTACCAACAGTTTACGGACCGACATTTACTATAAACCCACAGACTCCTACAGCTACCTAGGCCACACCTCCTCCCAACCTGTATGCTGCAAAAACTCCATCCCATTTTCCCAATTCCTCCATCTCCTCCTCTGAAGAGGAGACCTTCCACTCCCAGCATCCCAGCTGTCTGCCTTTTTCAAACAACGCTTTCTCCCGCCTCTGTCATCCAGACAGCCCTCCACCATGCTTCCTCCATTCCCCGCTCCACAGCTCTTAACAACTGCCCCCCCCAATTATAATAAAGATAGGGTCCCCCTTGTCCTCATTTTCCACCCCACCAGCCTCCGCATCCAATGTATCATCCTCAAACACTTCCATCAACTCCAATTAGACCCCACCACCCGGAACATCTTCCACTCCCCACCCCTCTCTGCTTTCCGCAAGGACCATTCCCTTTGCCAATCCTTAGTTTGTGCCACACTCCAACCCACCTGGTACCTTCCCCTGGAACCATAAAAGATACAACACCTGCCTACACCCCACCTCCTTCATCTCCATCCAGGACCCTAAACAGTCTTTCCAAGTGAGATAGAGCTTCACCTGCGTCTCCTCCAACAGTCTATTGAATCCAGTGCTCCTCATTCAATAATAACACCATCACTGAATCCCCTCCTGTCAACATTCTGGGAGTTACAGTCGAACAGAAACTGAACTGGACTAGCTATGTAAATACTGTGACTACAAGAGCAGTTCAGAGTCCTGGAATCTTGCTGTGAATAACTCACCACCTGACTCCCTAAAGCCTGTCCACCATCTACAAGGCACAAGTCAGGAGTGTGACTGAATATTTGCCTGGATGGTTGCAGCTCCAACAACACTCAAGAAGTTTGACACCATCTGAGGCAAAGCAGCCCACTTGATTGGTATTATATCAACAAACACTTACTCTATCCACCACCAATACCAGTAAGAGCAGTGTGCGCTACCTACAAAATGCACTGCCCAAATTCACCTAAGCTCATTAGACAGAATCTTCCAAATCCATGAACACCACCATCTAGCAAGACAAAGACAGCAGATACATGGGAATATTACCACCTGCAAGTTCCCCTCTAAGCTGCTCACTGCTCTGAAATATATTGCTGCTCCATCAGTGTCACCGTGTCAAAATACGGGAATTATCTCCCTAATTGCATTGAAGATCAACCTACAACACATGGACTGCAGTCGTTCAAGCGGGCAGCTCACCACCAACTTCTCAAGGGCAACAAAGGATGAACAATGAATGGTGGCTCAGCCAGCAAAGCCCATGTCCCCTAAGTAAATTAAAAAGAAATAATGCTACTGCACAGATAGTTGTAAGAAGGTATTGCAATACATGAAATTCCTATGTAATACATGAAATTATGCAGGAATATGGAAACTTTAGCATCCAGACACAGTCATTTTACATGGTCAAGGCTTCATGAGGATATGGTGCAGTTCTGTAAAACATTATACATGTCAGATAGTGGGAAAACCTCAAGTAAGATCAGTCCAGCACCATTAACACCCATACCAGTTTCCGAAGAACCACTCAGTCAAGTGTAAGTAGATTCTAGAGGGCCATTACTGAAAACTAAAATATGAAATCCATATATCCTTACAGATATGGGTATGAAAACCAGATTTCTGGAAGCCAATCATTTAGGGACAATTAGAGTAAATGAAGTTATGGAAAAATTAATAATTTTTTTATTCATCATGAACTAACAATTAAAATAAAATCAGATCAAGATTCTAAATCAATGTCTAAAGTTTCTCAGGGCATAATAAGCAATTTGAGTATAAAATAATCGATGCCCACTACCTATCATCTGTAAACCAGGGAGCTTTGGAAAGATACTATCAGACTCCTAAAATAATGATTGACATGTATTGTCACAGATGATCATAGGATCAGGACAAAGGATTAGATTTCTTACTATTTGCTACCATTAACATCCAAAGCTAAAGAGATATGAGCCTCTGTTACACCAAATGGCTTTTATTAATGTTGAGTGATGCCATTTGGTTTTAAAAATTCCCCTGCTACATTCCAAAGACTAATGAATTAAGTTGTAGCTAAGTGCCTAGCTTATTTAGATGATGTCATAATATAGACTGTAGCTGACAAAAATGTGTAAAGCAATTAAGGACCTCTTCAATCAATTATAGTTAGTTGGCTTAGTAATAAATCTGAGAAGAATGAAAAGCGATGGTAAATTTTGCTATGAATAATGAAAACGAAAACTCTGATTGAATTCCCTATTCCTGAGACTTACAAAAAATCTTTCAACTTCTGTAACTGTGGGTTTATTGTAAATCTTTGCATAACTTCAACACAACGTTTTTACCTCCAACAGATTTGTTACAAAAAAGACAAATGTGGTAGAGTCAGCAGAGTGTCAAGCAACCTAGAGAAGTTGATGTCAATTCTAATAAATGAATAGGTGTT